TTTCGCCTTTTTTTTTTTTTTACAAAGTCTGAGACCACACTGTCCTCCCGCAGTCTGCTGTTTGCTAGATGTAAAGCAACCTGTGGGATTACTTGGAGCCGGCTCCCAGCTTTGCAGCTTCCTGGCATTAAAGTTTACAGAAGAACCTGTGAATGGAAATAGCAGGAAAGTGTGAATTGACTTTACAGGAGGTGAGTCATCCCACTGAGCCATATCCTGTCATGTGCACAATAAGCACCCTAAAACTCCCTGAAACCAGGGAACAAAGCTGAGCTCCTGGGGTTGAGGGTGAAGCTGTCTCATTAAATGGAGTGTCCTACCGAAGTCACCTGAGGTGTCTTGAAAGCTTTGCTCTAGTCCTCCCCATGGCGCAGTACCGGACCTGTGCTATTCCCTGGCCCTGGTAGAGTTTGGGCTTGTTTCTGCGTTGCACTGCTGCTTGACCAACCTGTATTTTCAGGTGATGCTGAGAGCACAGGAGAGTCCCTGGGAAACTGTTGCTAACACAAACCGCCCCACCAGGCTGGATGAAGCTGGCCAAGCCCATTACCAGGCTAGCACAATTCCACCCGAGTGTCACTTACTTTAATGCCAGAAAGGATCCTTATGATTAGTTGACCTGACTTGTTCCATAGCGCAAAGCTCAGCATCAAATGCTAAAAAAAACCAGTGTGCCTATAGTGCTGTCTTTCTTGCTTGGGTCTTTGACTTGGATCCCGGTCAACAGACTCCTGCACAGTCCTGCATCCAGCAGAGTAACTCGTCAGGGCTTTCCCACCAGCATAAGCAACACTGTAATACTTCAGTACAGGTATACACCACGTCGTGTGATTCTGCATGAAGCCGGTACGCTCGCTGCTGCTCTCAGCTGCCATCTCCAAAGGAGCTGAGCTCAGTTGTCGGCAACAGTAGGAGCATGGTGTGGGAAGGACTCTTTTGTTTCCTTTCTCTGCAGGTAGCACACCCTAAATGGGCTTAGCTGTGCCAAGAAGGTTCCCAGCTGGCAACACTTCCCTGAGCTTCCACTGAACCCTGACTGGGAATTAATCCGCAGAAGAATACCAAGTTTCGTCTGACTCAACACAGCCTCCTTCCAGCACCAGAAGGGCAAGCCTGAAAGGAAAGGTCCCTTCAAGAGATCTTTGTGCTCTGTGGGTTACGGCCTATTTACTTTGCAGGGACAGGCTGAATTATCACCAGGTCAGGAGCTGACATGAGCCCAGCAGCAGGGGCCCGGCTGTGCTTGAACCCTGCTGAAAGGCAATGGCACCCTCCCCCTTTTCCTGAGAACAGTATGATGGCCTTAACAACCTTATTGCCTCGTCACATTCTTAACACCCCCCAATGTAATTCTCGGGTGCTAACTGGTTTTTTTCCTTCAGATTTCTTGAAGTTTAATACTATTTGTCAGTTAGGCAACCATTTCCAGCTGGGTTTGACTTTTCCCAGCTGTATTTTCAGCTAAGTAGCCCGCTTCAACTTTGCTCCTGACACCTTCCAGCCTCTGGTTTGGGCTAGATTGGTCCCCTCCTGTGGTCCTCGCTGTGGCCTGGCAAAGAGCGGCATGGGACCACCTGAGGAGCGGGAGTGAGCAGAGGCACAGCTCCACCAGGCACTGGCCCCACAAGAATCGTTTGTCCTCTCGCAGCCTGTGCTTCAGTCAGGCTGCTGCTCTTCCAGCCCTGCCGAGGATACTCTGTGCCGGGAGGCTGTCCTTGGCCCGCTTGGTCTGCTTAAACCTCTTGGCTGTCCTGTACATCGTTGGCTCTCTTGGAGCCATCTAAATCACCCTGTAG